TTGACTCTTCAAAAGATTGAATAAAAATACATGGTTTGTTCGGAAATCAAGCACATAGGATGCACCAATTTATATGAATACTCTCGTGTGCTTCGTTGTAGCATTTCTGTTGATCAAGTAGATCAACTGAAATTCGTTATCATCAGCATTTCCCGAAATAAATGACATGGGCATTCAAGATAGATTTATACAAAACAACGTGAAACTGTTTGACTGTGTGAATCCGTCTGCCCTTTTTTGATGATCTATACAAGTGTATCCTCAATCTTGTTCACCCGTTCAGTAGTATGCAAAACTTGGGGCAGTTTGTGTGATAAGCAGGCAGATATTGTGCTTCAATCCCAATACAGCCAACACACTCGGTTACTCGCGGATACGTGTGAAATTTTTCACTCCACTGCAGCCAGTGTTTTGATGATTCCTAGTGCATTTGGTGTATATTGAATAAATCGAGTCCTGATAGTAATTATCCTCTCACGAACTTTGACATTATGTACAATTCACCTAGCTTACCAACGCTAAATCATACCGTACAAAATCCTCTTTCTTAATTAGGTTTTTTATTTAGGCTAAGACTAAGACAAGTTAAGATTATTTTATTATTTTATCTATCTATCTATCTATCTATCTATCTATCTATCTATCTATCTATCTATCTATCTGTCTACCTATCTATCTATCTACCCATCAATCAAGTGTATCATGCAGTTTCATTATTCCGGTGTTGAGTAGCGGACACAAAGCACAACGCTACTGTGGTGAGAGTTCAGGGACTTAAGTACTTTCGAAACCGGGGATGTACAAATATAACGATTTTTGTGAGACACTACTCACTTGTGAGTGGTACGCAATAAGATGCGATCGCCAGTTTCTTCCAACGACCAAACATGAACGAAACCTGTTAGAGCAAACTGTTGCTGTTGGTACGGTGAACACAAGAATGCGCATCTGATAGTGATGTGTTCGATTGCACATCTTGTTTGTTTGTGGGAATTTCGCTAACTTCTTCCAAGTGAGATATTTTGATAAATTTAACAATTTAATCATATCCTAATCTTTATTGGCAGCAAGCGATCCCCCTCGACCGCGCATCGCCTTTTGGAATTATAACGCAGTTACTGAGCCGTTGGGATGTCCTGATGTGCAATGTAGATGTGTGATAAATAGCTAGATAGATAGGGACGGAGGAAAGCGTTTAAGGATATTAAACTGTGGACTGACTACACGGTCCTTCCTTTTCAGATTGCAGTTTCAACGAAATCACCAAATCGCCAATATACAATATGCATAGATGGGCGACTTTGGACTAACCGTGTTTGTAGCACGCGTGTCTCTCATACAGAATAACAGCCGCATACAGGAAAATCATCGTCAAGTTTCGCCAGCCATCAAGTTTGCGCAAAATCACGCATACTCTGAACTGAGCTGCACAGTAAAGTTGAGCATTACGAGCAAGATTAAGTACAAGGGAGGACAGGGAGTGATTGCTATAGGGTTAACGTTAAGCGTGAAATCGGGGTCAGTCCGGATTCCGGTACAGGCATTGACCCAGAGCAGAGAAGCTCATCCATGGCGCGTTCTCAATGTAATTAAAACACGTTAAGTTGACCCCCGGGTTTTGTCCGCCCCTCACCATCATAACCATACTTCATTCCATAGTCTACATGGGTGGAGAGAAGCTTTTGGTTTCATGTTATTGTGTGCTTGTGTTGAAAGGGGAGAATCGGCTGAGGATTTTGTATTGAGCCGTTGAGTAAGGCAGGCAGGCAGGTAGGCAGGCAGGCAACTTGAAACTCATTCATGTGTAGTAACCAGCAAACGAAGTTCATCAACAAGCTGAACTGAATTTGGTTAGACCCCTGTGGATAACCGGAAATCACCTCTGAAAAATTCGACGGCTGGTTGAAGCCGGTACGCTCTGGTGAGCATACTAATACGATGGATGATCTTACGCTATCCACATTCAGACTTCATATATAGGGCCAGTCTAATTGAAGTGTGCATGAAATCCGCACTGGCTATCTGCGCACCCGTACGTAAACCGGAGGACTCAACGGTACAGGGCATACCTGTGTGCACGGATGAGAGAATGTAACGTATCGATTCCGACACGGTCGTATTCAGTCAGTTAAAAACAATGAACTTGTGAAATCAGTATGTCCCAATAGATGGGTTAAAACCTCTTATCCTACTTGGCCAGATAATAAAATAACAATCGGACTTTAGGCGGCGGACAAAATACCCAAATCTATTGGACACGTGACCGGTGATTAGTCAACACAACACACACACATAAGCATGAATGCTGGTTTTATTAGAAAGTTCGAAGGGAACTATAGTTGGGCTTAAACTACAGATCAGTCGATCGATCTTTTATTTGCTTTAGTTTTTTTTTCTTGATTAAAAAATTTCTCAGGTTTACCTTCTTAAATGACTCAAATAAGAAAGCGTAGAAGAAAATGGGAAAATATTTTTCGTGAGTAAACGATCAACTTCCTCTTGTGTAGAATAGCACGTGTCTAACCGAAGCAGTTGACTAGTGATCGTTAGTCTGGATAGGAATTCTTTTGGCCCATTGTGGATATAGCTCACGCAATCTGTGAACGAGACTGCTAGTTCGCACTGAGCTTTCAAAAAGGGGTTAAGCTAGGCAGAGCCAAGTGGATTGCACACACGCGTTGTATTCGTGAAGTTATTCACTGGGTCCTCAGCGGGAGCATAGGGTACATCATGATATGGCTATGTGACAAAGCTAAGCCTCGCACTTGTTTACTGCTACCGAATCTGTTAGGCATTGCTCATCCCCTGACATATTGTTTCTAGCCTCTAGTTTCTAGTATAAAAAATATTTGCTGCTACTGTTATTGAAAAGTCAGAGGCATCTCTGCCGACAAAGTTTTCTTACAAACGAGTGATTTCTGACATCTGCGTCGTCCGATTCGAGATAAATCAACGAGATTTTGCATTCAATCCAAACGAGAGGGATTATGCCGGATTGAAAAGACTTTGAAATGGATTATATTAACTGTGACGGGCTTTCTTTCTTCTGCTCTTTTATCCAAGTGGACAATCATGCGACTGTGACCAAAACTATCGCACGACAGTTCATGGTTATGGGTTGGAAACAACTGAAACTTGCTGTTATATTTGTGTTAGCATGTAGGACGGTTAGCAGAAAAAGCGCGTTTCTCATTTGGTAATGTTTTACTCACGACCGAGCATTGGACAACACTGTGTATACTGGAATCCTATGATAGCTCTAAGGAAAACGATTGTGTTATTACGCTCACAATTTCGGCTTAGCTAAGGCCCAAGTTTGAACTAACTTCTGGTGTTGTTTTTCGTGTGCCGCGGTGAATACATCCAGTCTCCTTCTTGGAATGAACTTCAGCCCGGTCGTTTGCAACATACCCATATATGACTTCAGAAATACAGTCAATGAAGTATCATAAAAATTATCCACATCATGTTTCACAATGATATAGAAGTAGCAGTTTGATGAATATTTCTCGCGTTTTACACTTTCAACCGATACTCACTTGTGAGAAGTTGTACGCGGTAAGTAGTATAACTGGTTTTGACTCATTCTTCACACCTTATTCGTATGCACCCACTCATCCATCTATTTTGTCGTAAAGACGGGAAGCATTAGACTGGATTGTTAGGTCACATCAGTGATCTGTATGTGTGTATGTGTTATGAGAAACACATATCTATTATAGATCTATGCATGCAACTGTACGAACTAACAATGAAGATATGTGGAAATTAAGATTCGTTTTTTTCCTTGATTTTTGGGATCTCTTTTGTTACTTTTTGGGTGGTAGCGTTCACTTTGATGATCTTTGGCACCCTCCTTTCAAAAAGGTTAACTACTGTTTATGAATAAAGACGGAAAACACCTGTCAACCCCGGATAAGTAATCAGAGCTTTGAGTTATGAGTACAGCTCATTTGTGGGGCTATTAAATAGAAGGATAATGAACATTACAATCAGCTGTGCAAGTAGATACAAAAGACAAACCTCGGTAGTTTCATGTGACATTACAGATAAGTGTTTATTATTCCCATGCGAGTTTTATGGCCCTCGGGAATTGCTGGTAGTCAACTGTTTAACTCAGGAATAAAGATTTTGGCTTCTACTATGAAGCCTCACAGTTCGATTTTGATCCCAAACACAAGCATAATCGATAATTCATCTGAGTCTCATTAGGGACAAAATACCACCGACCCCGTGCTTTCCATCAGTCTGTTCACAAAAGTTCGCAAATTATTTTGATAAATCTCTTCCTCAGAATTGTCATTTGGCTGCAAGCATCATGAACACACATGTTCCCGAAGGATTGAGGAAAGAAAAGTAAAGGAAGCTCCGTTCAGATTAGCCCCAACAAAAAATAGTCCATAACAATGCCACTGTCCTGTATCAAATTCAGTTCTGTCCGTTATTTACAGAGGTTTATTTGGATTAATTGGAGTTGAGCATTCGTCAAACTTCACCTTCTCGCACAATTCTCAGTTCCTTCAGTCAACCATAAACTTCGAAGCAATAGACTCGAGTTTCGCTCTTGTCAGAGCTCACCAGTAGTGCTTATTCACCGTTCCGTTCCGTTCCGTCCTGGACTGGACTGGACTACTAGACCCATGGCATAGAATGCGTGTGTGCTACCACGATACAAAACAGCTGATATCAGGGTTAAAAATAATTGCCAATTCGTGCTTGTTCAGGTGTCAGCTTCAGTGATAATCAGTCAGTTCACTTTTGGCCTGATAGCAACGAAGGGAGACAGAGTTGACCATCTGTTAATTCCAATTGAAAGCCTCCCAACAATGCCTTAATGATGAGCTCTAATAAGAAAGAAACTCAAGTCGAGTGCTTCCAAAAGTACGGTTGCCTGAGAAGAGCTGAGGAATGTGCGTGAAGACGAAGTCTGAAGGATGGTCAGTTCCAATCAATCAATAACAAATATCATACAAGACTACTCGCAAGTAGCTGTGTGTTAAATGGGAGGTTTGTTTGTAGACGAAAGCGCCCTTCAGGTAAGTGAGGTCGGGAAGAAAGCGCCCTTCAGGTAAGTGAGGTCGGGAAGAAAGCGCCCTTCAGGTAAGTGAGGTCGGGAAGAAAGCGCCCAGGAATCTTGATCACCTCGTTTTCCATCCGAACTAATAGTTGGGTATGGTTTTAAATCAACAGATCTTTTTGACATAGGCAACTTGCCATTGTCGGTGAATCGGCAAACTTGCTTCATTTGATTTTTGTTAACAGCTTACCTTTCCTTAAGATGCGTAAGGGTTAAAGTGCTACCAGGGCGTTCTGAACAGCCTGACAGAGTGAGACAATTCCATTTCGCCTGGTCGCCGAGCAATTGGCAATTTGTCTGCAAACATTTCATTACCAGTTGAGGTGATATTATCAGTACTTGTGAAGTGGCCACTGATAATCTCACCTCGGTTGGTGATGAAAGGTTTGGAAACAAATTGCCAATTGCTCGGCGACCAGGCGAAATGGAATTTAATTCACCCGGAACTACGAGAAACAATCTTAAAAATTTTCTCCGGAATGAGACAATTTTTTAAACATTTGGAGAAACAAAATGAAACGGAGCAATTTTAAGGCAGCCTGATCCTGTCTTGTTACGTAAGTTTGTTCTGAACATGACAAGTAATCTGTTCGATCTACGAACTTCTGCGCAGTATATCGGGGATAACAAAATGTGATCAAAATATCACTGAGAACTTTTACTGGAACCTGGGTTGAATGAATTAGGATACAGAACAGCAGACTATTTCTCTCGTGTCGTTCAGAGTAGCAGGGTCCTGTTTTATAACTTAGAATTTGGCTCTATCTGAACAGTGTTTTGCGCTTCATTTTCAATGCCCTTTCGGAGCAGCACTGTGCCTACTGTTTTCGCTTCCTTTCTTTTGTGCGTGCGATACGTGTAGCGGGATCGATTTCGGTTCGGTTTATTTCTATCCACCTTCTGCTACCGCTTATCAAAATTCGGCTCTTCAGGAAGTGCTCTCGAGATATTTTTTAAGTTTATCGGACCCAAATCACATTTGGGAAGGGAATCACAGGCGTTTATATATTATATCATTTTGAACCAATCAAACTGTCTCTGTCCGGTTTGCAAAACAAATGCCTTATACGGACCAATCATGAAAATACAATTGATGCAGCAAAACAAACGATCAATCCGGACAACACTTTTCAACACATCGCTTAAATGATGAAGTGGACTATGATGACATAGAGAATGGAGGAAACCGGTTGATGAATTGTATCTAATCGAACAACGTTTCATTCGCTTCCGGGTATTTCATGGACAAAGAAAAAAAAAGTAATTTATATTACTTTACCTCCGTTCTATTTCTGACTATAATGTGATTTGAAATGGATAATGAAAAGGGTTTTACTGATTGAAACTGATTGCTCTTTACGCACAATCCTCGGATCAGAATACAATCGTCAGGCACCACTGTTTGCGGTCAAAGCATCTTTGGTGAACCAACTATGTTGACGGTGAATAGAGAAGACAAACACATAGGTTTGTTCAATGTGTCCATGATAATTTCGCTGCATCTATACACACACACACACACACACACACACTGCATACTGCAATCAAAGTGATTTTTTTTCTTAGTCATTATGACAATGACAGTGAGACGTTGACAGTATCATTGATCAGACAAAACAACACGAAAATCAATTGCCAGAAGGTACAGGTCAATCACAGGTCAATCAAGCTAATGTGAATAACCGCTCACGTTTATACAGATCGGGGTTGCGAGTATGAATGGCTAGAGCCTCTGTAAATTTCAGTATATACAAATACATATATATATATATACTGATAAGGGAGGTTTTTTATAACTGTCACTCTCAAAATACATTCGCGGAAGTCATATTTTTCACATATGCAGGTTGGTATATCAACTCGTTTGAATTTGGTGGTAGAAAACTGTTAGACCTAAATAAATATCTTTTTTTCACATTTATGCAGTTTCTAGAGCGGTCAAGTTTAATGTCAAATTCGTTTTACTACCGTGCAGTAGGTGGGATTTTATTTTAATCGAAAACTTTTCTCTCTGTCAGAAACAGGGATAAGTTAGCTACCTCGACATTGGTCGTCAGTGGTAAGGGTGTGCGGTGTACTAGAAGAAACTTGCAAATTCTGTTTGGCAGTCAACTTGGTGGATTCCATGCTAAAGCGACTGCTTCCAGTGCTCAAAAATGAAGAAGAGTAAATGGAACATGGGCGAGATGAAGGTACAATACGTGTATAAAATATGAGTCATTTTAATAAATAAATGACGGTTACGCTTTCTACTGTGACTTCGTTAGCTTACAACTGATGTACCAGCAACCGTCGTCAAAATCGCGAAATTTTAAATTTTAATGGCATATGGCAAATAGAAGCAGTGGGTATTATATCATATATTTTGCGTCTAATGTGGGGCAATATCATATTCAATCTCGTGAGTGAGGCTGGAAAAACGAATCATTGAGAGGAACAAATGTGATGAAAATCAGGATGTTGCACGAGTTTGGTCAATATCTGTAGACTGAAATCCATTCTCCTCGCCTTTGTTGTTAGGATTCAGTTTCGATGGTGCTAGACCAAGTCTTAGGCTAGTCGCCTAGATAGCAACCTTAATTCACAGTGTTTGCTTATTTGTCTCTATATTATGCATCTCTGCGCCATCACACACACACACACACACACACACACACACACACACACACACAATTATCCTTGTGGCGGATAGGAGAGAGAGAGAGAGAGGTAAGAAGTGATTTGACAATGTGATAACTGCGTACTGGTCCTAGGGCGTGGTCAGAATGTTCCCTGGTCACCGCTGCGGAACACTAAGAGTGTGATTATTACTTTCACCGACCGTCATTTTCATCGCTCAACGAAAATGAACTTTCTTCTTTTGTCTGTTTTTCCAGATTGACGATCCGTTTCCCTCAATCGCCGTACAAACTCTGGACTCTATAAACAAGCTCATACGAGACACTCGTCGGATGCATCAACTCACCTTGCTGGAGGATGATGCCACTGTTCACGCGGTGGATGAGTCCACAAAGGATGCAACGGCGAATGATGCTGATGAAGAGATGCAGTCACGTGTCTATCCCGATCAGTTGCACATAGTTGAGGAGGTATGATCTTTCATCTAACTCCACAGTACGCTTATTTTGTTTGCGCGTCTCCTGGAACTCGTCATTCTGTGTCCCATTGTTTAGATGATCGGTCCTCACCATCGCACAGCAACTCACTCTAACCACAGGTTTAACTTTCAGACTGTGTGCTTTTTGAATCATCTAGTCGTTTTTGAATAGGACCTAGTTCATCTTTCTTGTTCTACTTATCCCACCGTTTTTTTTTTATCCGAATGGATGCTCTTCTCATCTCCCCCTCGCCTCGATCTCGTCCCGGATCACACAACACAACACAGGTCATGCTTCGTTGCATTCATTTGTTGGCCACCAACAATCCGAAATCTCGCATTCTCAGCATGGAAGTGCTCATCGAGGGCTGTTTGACTCTGCGCGACGAGCGAGGTAATTCTGTTCCCCGAACTCGATTTTGTTCGCTTTACATTTTATTTCTCTTTTGTTCACACTCATTTTGACCGTATTGGTATCCGTAGCTCGGCAAGCCGTGATTTAAAAGTTTGACCTGACTGGAAGCTATGCGTCTTGTCTGTGTCCCCATGCAAGTCGATTGCACTATGTCACGTACGTCGTGGATTTCATGGTGCTCGTTCGGACTTGGGTTCAGACAGATATCATAATATTTCATCGCGAGTAATTGTTAATTTTTACGAAATTGTTGGTTGTTTATCTGATCTGGTTCGTTGTAGATTGTTCTAATCACTCATTCCTCATGCCCCTTCCTTCTCCTCTTCCTCTCTGTCTTATCTTGTATTGGTGTATATCTATTAAGGGTGGTGGTGGCGCAGTGGTTTAGTCGCTGTCACCGGCGTGCTTTGAAGCCCTATGGTCCGAGGTTCGAACCCCGCCACCACCACTCGACTTTGGTGGTAGGCAGCTCTGCTGTCGTCCGGTTCAATACCACGTCTAACCTAGCTGGGCTTTATGTTCGTCATTCCAAGTCCCGGAGCTTAGGTTGTCGGTTTCCACCACTAAACGGCAGTTACTCATGACTATGGGGTTAACCCCGTCTGCTGTTCATCACACATAAGTGTGTAATAAAAAACACCATTGCAGTCGCATCGAAATATGGGACCCAGGAAAGTGGACGCCTGTGAGTTAATCGAGGAATCCGATGGCACACTGTTTCACCATCAGGAACGCCGTCTTGATCGATGGGCTGAACATTTTAAGGCTCAGTTCAACTGGCCGCCATCAATATCTGAACTATCACCCCTACTTGACTGGGCAGATACTCGCAGTTGGTGCCAGTCCTTCATCTGAAATGGATGTTTCCCGGGAAATAAGTTTTCTCAAAAGCATAAGGCCCAGATGAACTGTTCCCATCGGCCTTCAAGGATGGAGGTTTAGCGTTAGTCTTGGAGTTGACGAAAGTCCTTGATTCACTATGGGAAAGGGAACAGGTTCTACCCGAATGGTGTGAATCGGTCCTCTTATCGACCCACAAGAAAGGTGATAGGTCCTCCTATGGACACCACCGAGGAATTAGTTTAATCAACATCATCTCTAAACTTCTCGCTGGTATTANCGTCGATTGTCTACCTCACGTGAACGGTGCGCGCGTGAGAACCTTCCGTGGACCCACGATTTCTATCTTCCTTGATGTGAAAGCGGTTTTCGACTCATTTGACCACTCCAAGCCCTTTCCCTGAAGAGTGTACCCGGGAAGTTTCTTTTAATATCCCGATCCCTTTATACTAATATCTGAAGCCGAGTCTGAGCTTATGGCACTTTTTCAT